AGAATAGAATAGAATAGGAATTTAGAATAGAATAGAATAGAATAGAAATTTAGAATAGAATAGAACAGAATAGAATAGAATAGGAATTTAGAATAGAATAGAATAGAATAGGAATTTAGAATAGAATAGAATAGAATAGAATAGAATAGAATAGAATAGAGAATAGAATAGAGTAGAATAGAATAGAATAGAACAGAACAGAGTCGGAAGGGACCTTGGAGGTCTTCTAGTCCAACCTCCTGCCTAGGCAGGAAATCCTACACCATTTCAGACAAAGGGTTATCCAACATCTTTTTTAAAACTTCCAGTGTTGGAGCATTTACAACTTCTGGAGGAAATTTGTTCCACTGATTAATTGTTCTCACTGTTAGGAAATTCCTCCGTAGTTCTAAGTTGCTTCTCACCTTGTTCAGTTTCCATCCGTTATTCCTTGTCCTGCCTTCAGGGGCTTTGGAGAATAGCTCGACTCCTTCTTCTTTGGGGCAGCCCCTGAGATATTGGAAGACATGCTATCATGTCTCCCCTGGTTCTTCTTTTCTTCAGAGTAGACCTACCCAGTTCCTGCAGCCATTCTTCATATGTTTTAGCCTCTAGTCCCCTTTATTAAAGGGTGTGCTTTGATTTTTAAAAATCAAAGCATGAATATCAGTTCTGGACAAAGGCTCATCCCTGAATCCCAAATCAAATCAGACTCGATTTTTTAAAATTTATTTTTTAATAATTTATGAAATTTCTATGTCACCTATCTCACTGACACAGTAACTCTGGGAGTCTTCTAATGCAGCCGGTTCTCAACTTACAGCCATTCATTTAGGAATCATTTAAAGTTCCAACGGCACTGAAAAAAGTGACTTACAGCCATTTTTTTCACACTTATGACCGTTGCGGCACTCCCCATGGTCACGTGATGAAAATTCAGATGCTTGGCAAGCGACTCATAGTTACAACAGTCACAGTGTCCCCAGGGGGGGTGTCATGGGATCCCCTTTTGTGACATTCTGACCAGCAAGATCAATGGGAAACCCAAATCCACTTAATGACCATATTACAACTGCAGTGATTCGCTTAAGAGCTGTGGCAGGCAAGAAAGGTCATAAAACTCACTTCACAAATGTCTCACTTCACAGCAGAGATTTCAGACTCCATTGTGTTCATCAGTCAAGGACTACCCGTATCATAAAAAAAAAACAATTACAATTATAAAAATGGAAAAAGAAAAGCTGACAAGCAAGAGAATTGGGTCCTTGACCAACTGTTACAGTTAGCCGGCAGCAGGTGTGGATGGCTGAGGAGAGCGAGGACTCAGATGAGGGGCCAGGACCATTAGGGATTGGACTGCTGCCTTCAGAGATTGTGAGGGCTGGCAGCAGCGATGAGGAGGTTCCCGAGGAGCCTGTGCCAAGTGCACGTGCACGGAAGATTACTTGGAGGAAAGAACAATTACAGAAGCACAGGCGACTCAGGAGTAAGGCTGCAAGTAGCCCCTTTTTGCCACCTGGGCCTCGGGGAAACCTCCTAGATGAAGCGGTAAGACAGCAAGGGGGATCCCGGCACAGCTGATCCTCGAAATAGCTGATCGTCGGGAAGGGAAAAAAATACCTTAAGGAGTGACTGGACGGGGGAGAACGCAGTCAGCAATGTCAGGCATGCAGGCAGTATTGCACGTGCGCGATAAGAACTGATCGGGTTGTGAGGAGAGGGGTCGGCGGAGAGGGGTGGGGCCAGCCAGGGCCACGATTTGCCGGTTCTCGAAACTGCACAGAATCATAACAACCGGTTCTATAGAACCGGTACGAACCGGTAGAATCCTACCCCCACCCCCATCCCTGCTTTAAACGATCACTTAAATGAACGGTTGCAAGTCAAGGACGACCAGATAAGCCAGTTGGAATCCCTGCTCGCAAAACAACACAAATACACTACAAATATTCCATTTCTCCCCCCCTCCCCCACCCTTGTTCCATGCACGGACAAATGGTAGACGAGGGAGGTATCCAATAGATACAATCAAAATATTTTTGTGCAATTATTATCTCCAGAATTGTGTTTGTCGTTGAAAATAGCTATTCTGGGGCCTCCCATAGGAGAAGCAGCTAAAAATCAGATATCAAAGCGGAGGGGAGAGGGGGAATTAAAATGACAACTGCGGAGATTAAAATAGCAGGGGTGCAGCTGATCGAGAGATCAGGTGGCAGCTGAAATGTAAAGTGTTGCATTTAAATACCTTGTTTTTCATTCCGCACGTGCAGTCGGGTCTTCAGGGTGAATCCATTGAGGATATTTTTCTTTGTGATTCTTATAAGAAGCCAAAACCAACAGACTTTTTCGTTCCCTTTTAAATGCAAAAATCCCCCAGTGTTTAAAATCAGAGTGTTTTTTTTTTCCTCTCTCAAAAGATTCCTGGACTTCAACTCCCAAAATTCCCGAGCCAGATTTATTGCGGGCAGTGATGTGATTCCCTCCTTTTTGGCGTCCTTCTGACAAGAGACTTCAAAGAGGAAGCCAGAATCACTTCACAACCCTGTAACTTAGCAATTGTGGCGATTCACTTAACAACGGTGGCAAGACAGGTGGTAACATGGAGGAAAACTTGCTTAACGAGGCTTAACAAACTTCCAGAGAGTGAGGACAATTAACCGGTGGAACAGCCTGCCATCAGAAGTTATAGGTCTGTGAGGGTGAACCTACGGCACGTGTGCCACAAGTGGCACGCAGAGCCATTTGTGCAGGCACGTAAGCCCCAGCCAAATGGACCGGCACTGCACATGTATATGCCTCCCAGCTGATTTTTGGCCCATTTGAGGCCTTTTTCGGCCTCTCAGAGCCTCTGCAGCCTCAGGAGGCCAAAAATGGGCACTTCCGGAAATACTGGAAGTGCCCATTTTCAGCCTTTGGAGGGCCTCTGGAGACCAGGGGAGGCCATTTTCATCCTCCTGGGGGCTCGAGGGAAGCCTCTGCAGCTTTTGGAGGCTGAAAAACAGGCCTGTAAATACCGGAACTGCTGAAAAGGGCCCATTTTACGGCCTCCCAAGGCTGCAGAGGCTTCCCTCGAGCCTCTGGGAGGCCGAAAAAGGCTCAAATGGGCCGAAAATCAGCTGGGAGGCACACGCATGCGCAGTGCAGGTAAGGGGGCAGGGGGTGTTCCGTGCGCATGTGCAGGGGCGGGACACATTGCATTTCGGGTGAGCTTTCGGCACACCACAACAAAAAGGTTCGCCATCACTGTTGTAGGTGCTTCATCAGTGGAGGATTTTAAGAAGAGACTGGACAGCCAACTTAAGTGGGGGTATTCTACCGGTTCGTTCCCGGTTCGGGCAAACTGGTAATGAAAAACCAGCTACCGATTTGGCCGAACTGGTATTTTCTTGTTTCTTTTTCCTTCCAATGATCAGCTGTTCTGACAATCAGCTGTGCCAGGATCCCCCTCGCTGTCTTACCCAGGAGGCTTCCCTGAGGCCCGGGAGGCAAAGAAACGGAGCGCTGGGGGGAGGGGGGGTTGTTTCAAAAAAAGCCACACCCACCCCATCACATGGCCCACCTAGCCACGCCCACAGACCGGTAGTAAAAATATTTGCATCCCACCCCTGAGCCACTGAAATTGGTAGTCTCCTGCTTCAGCAGGGGGTTGGACTAGAAGACCTCCAAAGTCCCTTTCGGCTCTATTCTGATCGATATGTTCTCCCTGTCTTTCAGGCACGAGAGTGATGTGAAGATGTCAACCCTTGTGGTCCCCACCATCCACACGCTGAAAATCGGTAAGGAAACCTGCGATGTCCCAGCTTTGATCCTGGATGGGGGACAGGACGAGAGCCTCTCCGGGAAGGTTGGGCTCAGGCATTCTTGGGGACTTCCTGGGAAGGGAGTTGGGCTGCTGCTCCGGCCACTCAGATCGTTGCAGGAAAGTGCAGAAGAGTCCAAATGCTGCAATGGTGGATCGCCAGCTCTGCTCCAAAAAAGGCCTGCAGGTTCCAGGTGATGGCCAACACCCTACAAAGAGGGAAAGCTCTCTTGGAAGATCAGAGGGCTTCACCCATCCATCCATCCATCCCTCCATCCATATCTATCCATCCCTCCATCCATGATCCACCCATCCACCCACCCCATCTACC